CACACACACACACACACACACACACACACACACACACACACACACACACTTAAGTAGAACTGTCTGTTGCAGTCAGCTCCAATTACCACTGTCCACTACTAATGCACAACATGTGAAACTCGAAGAACAATTCAATACTTTACCCCCCCATTCCACAAAGTTCCATATGGATTATGTTTGTGTGTTTCTTTGCGTTTAATTGTGAATCAATGTCACGGTCACAAATTAGTGGTCACTTTAAGCCCCAGCGAGTCCAATGCAATGAAATAGGTTCAACAAATGACTTGTAAAGAACAAGAAAGGCTACGTGAACAAATAAGCATGCAGCATGCTGTGGGTCTGCCGCACAACCCCACGCTTACACGTAAACAACCTCAATCTTATTCCAGAGGAATTTAAACACAATATGCAGTAACTTCGTTCCATCACGAGGAAGTGATTTGCAGTGTTTTTGCCTTCCTGCAGAACTTCTTCTGCATGGCGTGTCCCCAAGTGACACAAGCTATATCCTGGTACAGCACATTATGACACATCCATAATGATAACACACACCACCTCATTATGTCCGCCGCATATGCAGGAGACCTCGGTTTTTTCCCTGCGCGGTATAGCTCCTTGTGCTCCCCGTGGCTGTGAGTCTATTTCTGCTGTTGTCAGTACTTCAGGTCAGGAGGTCCGACCTGATGTTCACATGTCTCTCAGCTCCACTTGAGAGAGACTCGTTGACCACTTAACCCCCGCTCTAGCTAGCCGGCATGCATTAGAGTGTGCTCCAGTTTCTTTGCAAATATGCCGAGCAGTAGTAGTTTTTTCTCCTCTTAAAACTACTTCTTCAAAGGATTCTGCTGGTCGATGGCTGTAGAACCAGAATGTGAGCTTCTCCACATATCAGCATTGTTATATAATTATTGTGTATGCATGCAAATGGGGTTGAGTCGCCCTGAGACGCACATCTAAATGCTGATCCGACTGCACCGGTTCCCCTGTGTGGGTGGAGTGGGCCATGCGATACGTGAGTTCTCACAACGTTCAGGCAGCAAACTTCCTAAAGCGCCCCGGGTTAAGACTCTGCTTTGGTAAATATTACGTTGCTTGTCTGTGTTGTCGGCTGTGCTATCGAGAGTAATGAAGACGTCTTGCTTGTCTGGCTCAGGGACAACGCGAGTCTGGCTGTCATTGCGCATGATTAAAAGGAAGGAACTGCCTCGCAGTACACACGGAGGGTTATACAAGTTGATTTACAGCAGTTTAACTGGATCCCGTCTGAAAAGCTGCTGTAGGAGGTTGATTTTATAGCTGTGCTCTAAGGGGTTCCACTTGCCTGCTTGCCATTGGCAAACACTAATTGGCCACCGATTCTTGTGTTTCTGTAACATAGGGGCAAAAAGCTAAATGTGTACCCCAAAAATCTATAAATTGGGAAGTGTTGGGCATCTTTAAGCTGGGCTGGAAAGGATACTGTTGGGTTTGTTCAGTTACTGTAATAAAGCTTTTATTTTACAGTCCAGTTTCATTATTAATATATAACTGCATAGCATCCCAACAACTCAAAATAACCATATTTCAGCGACCAAAGGCTGATGCCTGGCCGCCCCACTTAAGTTAGTGATGAGACCTGTAGGCGATATTAAAATAATAGAGTGGAATAACACCAACTGCCATAACATTTCTGACTTAATATCACACTGTTACTCGACTGGCCTTCCATCGTGTCTCAAAGTATCGCGTGTCGAGTTAGGATATATTTCATGAAGCTGCACAGAGCAGTGAAAGCCAACTGCTGGTTGGGCGCTCTGCTGGACGTCGCTGATCCACCGGCTAAGCCCACGAAGCCGCGCATATATGTGTGTGTAAGACAATAGCTTCTGTAAAGCACCTCTCGCTGTTCTACCGAGAGGCAGAGCGAGCTCTGTTTCCACACCTGTTGCCCCGGGGCCACCAGGGACCAGCTATCTCCACTCTGCACTTTCTGCCGTGTCGTCGTAAAAAAACTCCAGCGCCCACGCTGATAAGACCCGACCTATACCTGACTAAAGCCGCCGGCTTAGGGACTTGTTTGCATTTCACTGCACCCCAAAGAGAAGGATATATATCGCAACCGCATGTGTTTTTTTCGGAAGGGAGCACGGAAATAAGAAAGTCCTCGAAGATAAGCCTTTCAGTCAAACTAAATGTGAATGTATTTGATTTGGAGGAGGAGGACTACCACACGGAACCAAGATCATCCTTGAAGAGGCCTTCAGTTTGACGTTGAGCGGGGCTTTTTCACTGCACAACAGTGACCTTTCTGGATTCCTGCGTGCATTCAACTGTATTTTGGTCTGAAGTTTCCACTTAGTATTAAATCCGATTATGAAATATGGTTTGAGTGACTGTTTTTGCTGAATCGAAGGTTTTCTGCAGAGATGAAAGGAGGACGTGCTGTAAACTGTCTTTGGAGTCTCTCTGTGTAAATTGGATCCAGAGCTGGCGACAGGGGAGGAAAGCAGGCGTCCTTTAGCTTTGCTATTGATTGTAAGGAATTAGCAGGGAGGAGACAACATGCCCTCAGGTTGGGAGGGATGGGAGTTATTCTAAATTATTGCTGAGCAACTTTCAAGTTGTATCACAGAGCCGTCGGAGGGCAGCTCTATATGCTGCGAGTTTCTGCTTTCTTTTTTTTTTCAGTGCAAAAAAGACAGCATGATGAAGTATAACTCGAACCATCTTTAACGCCGACCACAGAAGCATAAATAATTGAATAAAATCGGTGGCATTTTTTTTTTTTTTTAATGCACCAGCAAATAAGTCTACAACATTTTTTCTCTCTCTCCCTCTTTTGGGCTCGCTCTAAGAAGTCTAACTCTTGTGGTGAGGACAGAAGTGAAGGAGACTGAGACTCTGGTTTTGGCCGACTTTAAGTGGGCCTGGCTTGCATGTGGCGAGGAGGAGCCGATGCCCTGGCACACCGTGTGGAAATACTGTGCATCAAACACCAACGGGGCCCATATAACACACAGCTTCAAGCCTGGCATGTGAACACACGCATTGAGCTTCAGCTTTACGATTGTTCCTTATTACTGTGTTTGTAGTGAAGCAGAAAGTTCACATGAGGTTAAAAATGTACAAAATAGGGATAATTTTTTTGGAGTGAATATTTATATATTTTGGGGTAAAAATGCATGAGCTTTTGTGGAAGTACGGTAATATGCAAAAAGAGAGAAAGTGGTAGTATCGGCAAATTCGACACCAATTTAAAAAAGTGTTCTTCTTCATGTTGAGATCACGTCTGACTTTGCAGTTTGATTTTCCCCCTTCAGTTTTTTTGAGAGGAATAATTGAGCTCAGTCCCCCAGGGACAAGGCCGGCTCATTAGTCGATCTCTGACCTAAGAGTGAGAAAACCAAACCACCGGCTACCAGCAAAAATAAAGTCATCATGGGGGACTGAACACATTTACACATTAGCTGCACTTACATGTGGAACAAAAGAGACGGCCGTCGCACAACTCACCTTTGTCGCGGTGAAAAAAATTCTAAAATGACTCGCAATTATGTTATTACTTAGATAATAATTCAATTAAATCTGCATTATCAGAAGCAGATGGTTGTGAATGTAGAGGCCGTCACTTACGCTGTTGTCGCTGGACCCTGACACGGGGTAGACCGTCCAGCCGAGCTCCGCCGTGGCCGTGGTGGAGTCCATAAGTGTCTCTGTGGGAAGAAGCAGAGAGAGACCGAGGTCAGATCATCCACAACAACAAGACAACATTGCTGCGGAGCCGGTGTTGAACACAAATATTTTGAGCGGCAGAATAAAGGTTTACTTTATGAATTGTCAGAAAAATAGTGCAATGTTTATTGAGCATTCAGTGTACATCTTCACATTTTGTCTGACCAACAGCTGAGGGCTCAAGTTAAAAAAATAATAAATAATAGCTTTTTATGAATATAAGCAGACGGGCTTTTTTTTTTTATTAAAGTTATTTATTATGCAGACATGCTGGTTCAAGCTTCGCCAATGAGACAATTTGCTGTTTTTTTGTTATTTTATATCATTTAAAAACGTTTTAGATTTTTGTACTGTTCTCTCTGGGAAGTTTCAATAGAAATTCCTCAATATGTTATAACCTAAATGATTTTTTTGAAGAAAAAAAAAAGTATTGACATAGCAATCGATGATGAAAAATGATCATTAGCTACACTACACAAAAAGACCCACGGGATACAATTCATATGTTATGGTACGGAAAGATTGCTCATAGTTTCACGAAAAGTCCGCAGAGCTATGCCATCGTCCATATGACTCGTGGGGGAACAACAGGCCGGTGCAGAGGAGGGGCCACCCTGTGATCCACGGATTAGCTGGTGGAAAGAAACACCTCTGGTAATTGGGGTCAAAGAGAATGTGCCTCCTGTCCGTCACGATGAGGCCTCTCCGCGCCACGCATTCCGCCCAGTCCGACCCAAACGTCTGTCATGGGCTTACTGAACCATTCGCGCTGTCACCTTCCTCTCTTCCTCTCTGCTTCTCCCTGTGTGCATCACAGAGGGCAGGTCTAATGAATTTCCCCCCGCTGATGAGGCCCTGTGTCAGTCCCTGTGCTCCGGCGTTGAAGAGCAGCAGATGGAGAGAGCGTTCATCGGGAGGCGTCAGCTGCAACTCCGAAATGCCACGGAGGGATTTAGAAACCCCCCAAACACGGCTCCTAAACTCAGCATAAGTCACAGCCAGCAGAGTCTGCTGAGACATTACCCTCTGCTGTAGGCTCGTCATTAATATTGTGGTATGAACAGAGTGAAGTGGGACAGAGCCCCCTGAAACCAGATAATATGTAAAAGGATTTTTGGAGAAACGTATCACAGGCAGTGAGTGAAGGGAATCAAAGATAGAGGATCTGAAGTTCCGCCTCACAGGATTTTGTTTAACGCTCGCGTGCGTTCGCCGCTCCGTACCAGCTTGAAGGGTATTTTAGAGACTTCCAGTTGTTTCACAAGCCTGGATTTCCTCTGATTTATATTCCAGCAAAAAGCCTCTGCATTTAATTAACAGGCTACACACGCACCCGGTTATTTCGGGGGCCTTCTGCTGACTTCTCCTGCGTCTCATCAGCGCTACACTCGCAGAGCATATAATACTAGATGCCACATCCTTTTCAGTTATCGCCGAGCCCAAATCGTATAATTAGGTAGACGAGGCTGCAGTGGAGCAGCTATTGATAACCTTGTGTGTGACTCAGAGCCGAGCAGCCTGCATGGGCGTTAGGCAGCGAGATGGTAATTATCCTCCATAATGATAACGATAATTAGTGGAGGAGCAAAGTGAGAATAATGAACCCCCTCTGTGGTGGTTTAAGGAGTGTTGTGGGCGACCGGCGACACCCGGCCTTCTTTTTATCTCTTTTGTGCCCGAAGCCGACCTTTTCCTTCTGCCTCTTCCTATCCACCTTCCTACAGTACTTCTCAATAACTCCCCCTTCACTCTTTCTCCTCTTTGACCCCGTGTCCCCTCTTTCTCCTTACGTCTTCTCTCTCCCCCGTATGCTCCGTCTCTCCCCCCCGCTATCAACGGCCCACACGCCGGACAAGCAGTATACCTCACCCCCTGAAAGACGGATCACTTTACTTCCTCCCGCTGTCTCCACTTCGGTCCGGGCGGCCACACCGATTCATTAACTCCCGTGGAGCAGAGCGGCACATATCTCACCGCCGTCGGCCCACCTGCTCGTTCACAGTCCGAACCCCAGAGCACGGCCGCTCAGCGAGACGCGCCCGGCCATTAATCAGTCTGAAGACGGGGACGCGGAGCCGCTCGCCTGATTCCAACCGCATGAATCACTTGCTTCTCGTTTCGTGGGTGTGGATTTTAGTTTTCGCTCATGTGTACGGACACACTGTCCCGACTGCGCTTCCACTACATGCTGTACTGTGTGTGCACAATAGACAATACACTGCATGTTGGTACAGAGGAACAGATGTCCTGTGAGGTTCAACCCGTTACACCAGACACAATAAAGGCTTTGAGGGCTTTCCTCCGGGCTCTGCCCAACGCCGAAAACACACGAGGCGCCATGTTTTCAATTCTTTGTAACGTAGGTCAATAACGTCTCATGAGTCACAGGACTCTGTGTACCGGTTAGCTGCTGGTACTGTCTGGCCGCACTTTGCCGCCAAAAGTTAAACTATCCCCAACTTCAAACGCACTTAGTCGTGGATTACGTTTGCTTTTGACGTATCATGAATCGGTTTAAAATGAGTCTGGAGGTCTGTGTAGAGAGGAGGTCGAAGGGGTGGATGGGTCAAAAGTACTTTTGTTTAACAGTGTTAACTGTGTTTCAAACTATTTCAAACTTTAAGCACGGCAGCTCACCGCAAGCAGCACTTCGCCGCTTCTCTGGTGTGTTTTCGGCTTTTGAGTGGCTAAAAGAACTTTTTGTTTTTGGTGAGCAGCTTTTGCAGCGTCACGAGCGTTCAAGACTTGCTGCATGTAAAATTGATTCAGCATTCGGCCTGCAAATAGTTTCGGGGATTTCGAGGACTTGCAAAAGTTTTGACAAACTTCAGTCTTGATAACATTTTATATTATTTTCACCAAAAAAAATGTGTTTTTGCAAAAGACAGTCAATTAGTAATACATAATAGCAAGTACAAATCATATCCTTTTTATTAACTGATGCAATATCAGCAACGTATTTTATGAGCTGCGCTCTACAAAAGACAACCTATTTACCGGTGATTAGTTTCTTCTTTTGGAAAGACAATCATCGTGGTACCAATATAAAAACATCTTGCAGTTTGCTCACGTGCTATATGAAGTGTGTGTGTGTGTGTGTGTGTGTGTGTGGCGCTGTGTGAACCTGTTTGTACTGTAATGAATTTGCGTGTGACACTCAGGAGGACACATCAAGGGCTCTCAGCTCTGATGACAAACTGCAGCCTCTCAATGTCCAACTTGCAGCAGTGAAGTGTCTGCATTATTGGTGCGGTGCTGGAGAGCGATGCATGAAAGTGTTTTAACTGTTGGAGCTCGTGGGAAAACGGCCTCTGTGCATGGCGCTCAAAGGCAGCAGCAATACTTTACACACAAACAGCTGTCCTAAATATGAAACTCTCAGGTGCAAACCTTCATAGAATTGTTTTGCGGAGAGTTCGGACAACATTACAGTGAGTAATTACAGCTTGTGTGTTGATACCCTGGACCGTGGAGGGGGCTATGAATATGCAATGAGACCTGGGAGTGTAAGGAAAGCCTGCTAGACAGAGAGTGCTTCCTCCAACACTTCCTGAGACTGAGAGAGTTTAGAGCCGATCTGAGAGAGAGCTCTCCAGTGAGAGGCTGTCTGAAGTGACAGGGGGGTCCTACAATAACACTCCTTCTCTAAGAGGGGTCAGTGCTGCATCTCGGCCTTCTGAACGCAACCGCATTCTCGTTGAGGGGAACAAAGAAGGAGCTGTTCACGGGGAAATTTATTTCAACTCAAACAACCGCAGCGAGAGAGAAAATAAACGTTTTTACGCAGACGGACAAAGACTTAAAGGGCTTGAAGTTATCTACAAGCTGTCGTGTTGCGGAATGAATAACTGAGCGAGCATCTCTACCTAATGTGCTCTGGTTCACTGTGTTCATACATTCACTTTCTCTGTCTGCTGGTGGTTATGTCCTTTATTTTTCTGTTTCTGTTGGTTTACGATGGCGACTGACCGGGAAATGAGGGCTGTGACAGATGGCCAATTAGTTAGAGTGAATAGATTTAAGATATATGAGATAAGATAATAAGATTTCTGAAGTGCACTGCCGTGACTAATCCCTTTAACTATACACCTTCCAGCTTGGACACCTTTTTTTCCCGGACAGGGACTTCAACAAGTGCCTGAATCTCAAACAAAGAAACACTTTCTATCACAAGTGTAGAGCTGGTACCTACTTTTATGGAGCCTAATCATATTATTAAATGGCTGATTTGAGACTCTCTTTTTCTCAGCATGAAGAATCCAATTCGACAAATTGCTCTGCAACTTATTGCATCACCGTTGAGGGAAAAATCCCTGCCTGCAAATTACCTTGGCATGGCAGTTCAAACCGGAAACAACGGGAATTAACCAATTCTCTAACAAACTAGCCTGTATATGGGACATGCAGTTTAATGAGTTGACCTCCAAAACAGCTCGCAGGCATGACTTCTTTTTTTTAATCTTTCTCACCAGCGGGACTGTAGCCTCCGCTCTGTATGTAACAAATCCCTCAACATCAACACAAACCACATATGGTGCTTTCCACGCTCGTGATAATGTCAGCTAGCAGGGCTAAAAAGCAGCTAAACGTTGTCCCCATAAAACCCACGCTGGGTCCGTTTAACCGCTGCTGAAGGGTGCATGTGCATTTACTCGCCTTTCACTAAACACCTGAAACCAAAGCATTTGACGGCAAATGTGGGAAGATTGTGGTCCGCATGAGTAACACGAGCAAGCTGTTCTTTGTGCTTGAAGACAGAACCCACGTATGATGGACCCGGCATGGAAATCTGCCCAGATTAAGGGGCAAGGCAATGATATCCCCCTGAGGGAGCCGGTGCAAGTCCAGAGATGTGATTCATAGCTTTAATGACGGACGGGGCTACTGTATGGCCGGCTGGAAAGAATAACATTCTGCTGCATTGAGAGGGAAGAAGTGGATGGAGCCCCCCCGGTCCGGAGGAACTCAGCTCAATTTATCT